CTCACATCTGGGAGCTGACAGCAGGAAGAGGAAGAGCCACATGGGAGTCATGTCTTGCAGGTGAGGTCCTGGTCCCCCAGAAAGTATTCTCCAGGGTGAGGAGGCCCTGCATTTAAGTGGACGCCAACTGTGTGTGTGTCTGGTGACCATGTGGGCATTTGCATATGGGAGGTGTCTGCACATACAAAGGGCAAGAGGTGAGGGAGGTCCTGGTCTCTGGGGCTTCTCCTGGAAGGAGGTGCTGACTGTCCCTCAGAGAACCAGGCCCTCCTTGGGGTCCTGGTCACCGTGCCCAGGGACCTCTTCTTCTACATCAGGGGCTATGCTGCAGGAGGGGGTTAGGATGTAGGATGTGGGCACAATCAGTTACTCCTTAGGGGTAAAATAAATGTGCCTCTGCTCCCATGGATATAGATCTAGATCTACAAAGCGGGCATTTCTGTTTTGTTCTGTTTCTTAGGGGAAATGGTTTTTGTTTTTGCTCATTGAGTATGATTCTGGATGTAGGTTTGTCATAGGTGTCCTTTATTGTGTTGAGATATGAGTCCTCTTCTCCAACTTTGCTGAGAGTATTTGTCAAAAGTGGGTGATGGGTTTTGTTGAAGGCTTTTTCTGAATCTTTGATATAGTCATGTTGTTTTTGTCTTTCAGTGTGTTTATGTGATGTATCATGTGGATTGATTTGTGAATATTGTACCAGCCTTGCATCCCTGGATGAATCCCATTTGGTCATGGTGTATGATGTTTTAAAAATATTGCTGTATCCAATTTGCTAATATTTTTTGAAGATTTTAGCGTCTGTGTTCATCAGGGATATTGGCCTGTAATTATCTTTCTTAGGAGTGTCATCTGGTTTTGGAATTAGGATAATGCTGGACTCATAAAAAGAGTTTGGAAGTGTTCCTTTCTCTGGATTTTATTTGAAATAATATGTGGAGTATAGGTGTTAGTTCTTCTTTGTCCAGACCAAGACTTTTTTTTTCTGGGCGTTTTTGGATTCCTGCTTCTATTTCCTCAGTTGTTATTGGCCGTTTCAGGTCTTCTTATTCTTCCTGTTTCAGTTTTGGGGTACTGTATTTTATAGGAATTTGTCCATTTCATCCACATTGTCCAGCTTGTTGGCATATAGTTGTTCATAGCACTTTATTTCAATCCTTTTTTTCTAGGGTGTTGGTTGTTACATCTCCACAATCCATTCTGACTTTATTTATTTGGATCCCCTATCTTTATTTCCTGATAAGTCTGGCTAATGGTTCATCAATCTTTTTTATCTTTTCAAAGAATCAGCTCATGGTTTAGCAAGTCCCATTGCTGATGGTGAAAGGTTCTGTAGTCACCAGAGCCGTCAATCAGGAGGGGACCAGGGGAGACACACAGAGGTCAGGGAGCAGTGCATGACTTGGGGGAGCTTTGCTGACACAGTGGGTTCTCATGGCTCCTGGAAACCCACCAAAGGAGCAAGGAGGGAAGAAAGGGAGGTCTACTCCATCCTACAGATGTGAGTGAGATGAAGGTTTAGACACTACAGCACCTATGAAATTGAGGCTGGGAAATGCTGAGGTAGAGCAACAACCTCACAAGCAGCCTTTACCTGGGTGATAATCCCCTCTGAGCCCTCAAAGGACTGATCTACAGAGGATCCAACACCATCATTATGAAATGTCAAACTTTACCCCATGATTTTAAATAAAAAAGATGCAAAACTGTAAAGCTGTCTCCTTCACCAAGAGATTTCCCAAGTCAGCTGCATGTTGAAATGAGATGATTTCCAATGAACCTTGTTAAA